ATGACCGAGATCTGAACGACACGAAAGAAGAAGAAGAATTATCAATTGCACTTGGGTTCAAACTCGAAGACTGACGTTGGTCTCCATCTGAATTAAAACTGTTATACTCGAGTAGTCGAGCTCTAAATCATTATTGTGTTTTTGATAACTTACCATTTTAATTTAAAATGCCTGTGARTTGTGCTACATGTAATAAATTTAGAGGAAATCTAAATAAAACAAATTGGCAGAAACACGTCGAGTCATGTAAAAAAAAATTTAAAAAAACAGAAATCAATACACCTTCATTGCCGATTACACGGCCGATTGTTTCAATTCAAAATTATTTTTCAAAGAAAAGAAAAATTGATGAAACTTTTGAGTTAGGTAAGTATTGTTTATAAATTGCTATTTTTTTTTAGTAGTCTGATAGTCAATAGATATTAAAGAACCTATGTAAGTACTTATTTTTCTTTGTAAATACTTGATTTATTGCATACCTAATTCATAGATATGATTATATAAATTAGTAATTTAAGTAGGTAATTACTAAAACGTCTAAAACTGATAATTAAAGTAATAACATTAAATATTAAATATTAAATAATAGTTGTATCTTTATGAATATTATCACAGCCCATACCTGTGTATGTAATTAGGTTATATTATATTATAATATATTTTATTTACAATATTTTATTACTCAAATAATTATTTTTTAAACTAGTACAATATAAACAAAAATTAAAAACTATTTTACATTTTTACTTCGATTTTTATACTTAATTAGGTAACATTATTATTGTGAGTTCATCATTAATATTATACCTACTATAGTTATTTGGTTAATTTAACTTAAGATTTATTCGATGAATTTTGAATTTTGACTTTAGTAAATTAGTATTTTATACATAAATAATATTATGTACATAAACTTTAATATAGATTTTTTTATCAAACTAATATTTTTAAAATTAATAATGATATTCAATCTTAATTGTACCAAAAGAATTTTAAATCTATTATAATTTATTTTTTATTCTTTGTAGATAGGTACCTAATAATGTTACATCATCTTTACTAATGTAAAAACAAAACATTCCCGGTAAATTATTTAGTGTATTAGGTACCTTATTTTAGATTCTAAGCGGATCGATGAATGTACTGACTACAATGAATACTA